CGCCGGGATTCGGGTGTGGGAGCGTCGCTCACACGGCCCTGCAGGTATTGCAGAGTCCCGGGATGGGTTGGGTGAGAAGGGATCTTACAGCTCATCTCGTTCCACCCCTCCGGCAGGGTCACCTTCCACTAGCTCACGTTGCTCCAAGCCCCGTCCCACCTGGCTGGGAATACTCCCCGGGACGCAGCAGTAGGGAGGGATGCAGAGGTCGTGGCTGGGGGAGCAGCCCCGGAGGGATGGATGATCACCCCTTCCCGGAGGCAGGGCCGGGCGAGGGATGCTGCGGGACGGGAGGGGAGCGCAGCGCGGGCCGCGGGTGCGCTCTGGTGGCTGCAGGACACCACTGCCACCACTTCCCGCTCTGCCTGCACGAAGGTTGCTCATCAACTCCTAACCAGCGTGAAGGCAGGAGGCACCTGCCTCCCCTGTGCCACTGCTCCGCGGTGCTTTCCATAGAACTCCCGCTGGTGCCGAGCTCTGCAGCTTCTCTCGCCCCTGCTCAGTGGTGCTGGAGGGTGCTGTGCCTGCACTCATGGAGGGGCACAGAACAGTGGGGGTTTCCTTAGCTGGGAATGTCCCTTGTGTCGTTCTGGGCTTGGGGATGCTCTGGGGCAGCTGGGCAGGAGCCTTCCCAGAGCAGCTGAGAGGGTTTGAGCAGGATCACAGAGAGCACTGCCCTGGGGGGTCTGTTCTTGAGAAAGAAGGTGTTGGAGGTGTCCCTAAGGGCACAGCATTGCTCAGTGGGGTGGTCCTGCAGGTGTGTGTCACCTGGAGCTCTCCACAGGTCTCCTGGCAGGATCACAGAATCACAGGCTGGTTTGTGTGGGAAGAGACCTTGATGACCATCTCATTCCAACCTTCTGCCAGGGGCAGGGACACCTTCCACTAGACCAGGTTGCTCAATGCCCCATCCAACCTGGCATCACCCTTGGGTGCTGCTGGTGTGAAGGAAGAGGGTGCTGGTTGTTTTGGGGCATCTGGGGGAGGGAGAGGTCCTCTGAGGGCACAGGAAGCATCACCTGCTCTCTCTGGCACTTTCTGGTCTGTGAGCACCCAGGGGAAGAAGAGCCTCACAGCCCCAGGCCACTGCCTGGCCACTGTGCCCACACCTTCCCCAAAGCCAGGGGTGCTCTGGGGCAGGGAGAGACCCTTCCCAGGCTCTCCAGCTCTCACACCGGCCTGTCCCCCCAGAAAGCTGCGTTGGCACAGCTTCCAGAACTCGCACCGGCCCAGCCTGAACTCGGCCTCACTGGAGATCAACCGCCAGTCCTCGGCACAGCTCAACCTGCTCCAGAAGTGTTCCCTGCTCCGTCTCACTGCCATCATGGAGAAGTACTCTGTGCCCCATAAGCAAGCCTGGACGTGGTGAGCAGGGCCAGGGGCACTGGGACACTTCCCATGGGCTACAGCTCGCACTGTGCCTAGTGTCTGTGCCGCACACTTCGGGGTGTGAGATGGTGGAGAGGGAAGGGGAAAAGCCCAAACATGAACAGGATTTGATCTGGCAGCTGTGAGCTGGGGCTGACCTCCAGGTTCCTGGCATTGTCTGCATCCAGGGGAGCTCCTGGCATCCTTTGCAGCTGGGGAGGCTACACGTGTTTGTGGGATATTAAAACTGCTGAAGCAACGTAGGGACTGGGACAGTGGGTTCCTTTCATAGCCAAGTATCAAAGCATTTTGGCTTAACAAAAGGTGCTGCCATTCCT